CCCTCCCTGCGGCGGGCCGGGGGCCGGGGGCCGCGACGGCGGCGCGGGTGCAAGGGGCAGAGGAGCGGGAGCTGCCCGGCCGCCCCCCTCTCCCCTCCTCTCCTCGCCTCTCCGGAGCCTGTGCTGTGAATGCAGTGACAGCGGCGAGAGCGGGCGAGAGGGAGCGGAAGACATTAGAGACCGCGGTGCCGAAAAATGAGGGAAAAAATTAATATAAATTCGCCCCCCGCTTCAAACCGGCCGAATTTCGCACAGAAATTTCCCCCGTGGACCCGGCTACCCGTGGGGTGTCCCCCGGACCTGGCGGCTGCGTCTTTGGGGGGATCCGGAGTGACTTTGGGGCACTCGACCCCCCTTTCCCGTCGTTTTTTGGACAAAAGTTTTTTTTTTCGTAATAAAGAAACGAATTTGCCTGCTCTCCCCCTCCGAGTGGCCCAGAAGCTTTTCCCTTCCCCATCGGTGTGTGTTTAGAGAAAAGTGTGAACCCAAGTAAGTGCCGAGTCGTGTTGCATTGGGGAGGGGGGTTTGCTAACTGAAAGCAGGAGAGATCCGGAGAGAGAGAGAGAGAGAGCAGGGACAGCTTGTTGTCAGTATCATAAACAACCAAAATGGAGGGAGAACTGAGGCATATAACAAAATAAAAATCAGAAAAAAATGCCAAAAAATACCTAAAAATCGGGGCTGCTCCCCCTTTTCTTCCTCAAGGTAACAGAATAAAACCCGTGTCTTCCCGAGACCGTTTTAAGGTTTCAGGGAGCAAGGAGTTAATATTTATTATTTTTTTTTTGTTGATGAATTCTTTGGGAAGGCAAAAGCCTCTTATAACTCGCCACCGACAATGAGAAAACGTGAAAATCCCTTTCAGGGGAGAGAGAGAGGTAGGGGGAGATGATAGTGCAGAAAGTGCCTAACTTGGGGGTAATGTGGAGTGATCCTAGATAAGATAAATGCTGTATGTGCTGCTTTATAACTTCCTTTTTAAATGCTTTTTTGTATGTTTGGGGGGGTTCTGGAGATGGGGGCTCCTTTCTTTTCCTCTGGCTTTTTTTTTTTTTTTCCCTTTCTTTTTTTTTTTTTTTTTTTTTTTTTTTTTTTTTTTTTTCGGACCGGAATGTAATGCCTTTGTAGTGTCACTTTCCTGATCTAATTAGGATGTGTGAGGCAAAGAGTAAACCTTTCCGGTTTATAAAGTGCGTTTTCGTTGCCTTTGAATTTCCCAAGTTTTTTCCTGGTGGCTCCCTCCTCTCTTTAAACTGGATTCTTTCAGAGGAGTGTGGGGTTGAGGTAATGCTCCATAGGGAAAGCAGGGAGGGCTGAGGGGCAGGGCACCTCTCCTGCGGGTGGTTGCTGGTTTCCCTGGCACGTTCGGTTCACCTGTCCGTCTCCTACAAAGAATGTATCCTGCCCTCCCCTCGTTTTATTTATCTTAAAATAAGGATGCCTCATCTCGCCTCACGTTGAAGTTAATGCGAAAGTGCTGCTGATGTTGGTTCCACGTGGGATCAGGGACATAGCAGGGCATTTTAAAGAGACAGCTTCTCTTTTCCTAGGGTTATCATCACCTCTGCAGCACCTCTGCCTCTAGCAGAGGGATGGGTCGTTGTTGTTTTTTTTTCATGGAGAGGTATCAAATCGGCCCTGGGCTGATAATTTAAGGCAGGATAATGGGGGGAAACGTGCAGATTCGTTTGGATCAGAGCAATTATTTTGTGTGGAGCGGGTCTTCAGGGGAGTTTTCTTGGTGTGTTAAGGAAAATGCTGTGTTTTTGGAGAGCGTTTTTGGAGTGGGTGTTGCAGAAATGGTCTCAGGTTGTTTAATATTAAAACCTAGTGCTGTTCTGCTAGCTATGAATTCCCTGGGAGGAGACCTATGCGCATGGGGCAGTTTCACAGACATTTTGTAAAAGTTGTGGAATGTGTTATTTTTACTTTGAATACGTTCAGTTTTGTTGGGGACACCTGAGTTTGTTGACAAATATTGTAGGGCTTCTTCTATACTTAAATCTTCTGAACAGTCCCAAAAGGTTTTGAAAGTAGTGAAAATAACTGTAGGTTTTAATTGGCCAAAGTAGGGGCTTTTTATGAGTACACCTTAGCTGTGTAATTATAACATCACTTGGAAGAATTGCCTCTGGCTTTGTTTAAAAAAAGAAAAACCATCCTAACTGCGGTCTAGTTTCATGTATATGTGTGCATGTGTGTGTGTGTGCATGCTTTTAGCATGGGTTCTGGCTGATACAGTTTTTTGCTGAATTTTTAGCTTGTAAATGTTTAACTGTAATGATGTGAAATGCTCCGCTTGTCCCTATTACCTCCTGTGTATTTTAATTTTCAGTGAAATATCCTATTAAAAAAAATTAACATCGCCTCTTAACATGGCAATTTGATATCTTTATGAGGAGTTACAATGTTTCCTTTACACGTGCCTTGTTTTTGTAGTCTTTGTATTTAATTCTGGGTTAAGAATTGCATACAGGTATGTGGTTCTTGAGCGGGAATATGGAGTACTGAACTTGTAGGGAGGCTATTTCTGCAGATGTTTTCTTTGAACTTGTGGAAGTTGAGTATCAGTTGTGATACCCTCTGTGTTGAATAGCACATGCTCGCAAATGATGTGTACCTTTTCTGCAAGTGTGACCAAAGGAGCTGTTGCACAGTAGTTGTTGACTAGGGTAGTCTTGTGGTTAGAGAGTTTGGAAGAAAGCTCCAAGTTTTTCAGCAACTCGCAACTGTAAAGATTAAATCACATTAACTACTCTGATGCTAGGAAAAAAAGGCTCATTAAGGAAGAAAGATTAATCAGTTTGTATAAAGGAGTGAAATTGAACATTTTTCCAAAACTGTCTTTTATGGCTTAGAGAGCTCTTTTATAGTTAGCAAGAATTCATACATCAAAGTTTCTTTCAAAATATTTCTTACACTGATCTCTTCTTTTTATTGACTGAAATAACATTATCCTGAAAGGCATAGAAATTTGATAAATTAGTAACAGGACACCATGTGTTGGTGTTTTCAATGTGCCAGGGTAGATAGATAGTAGTAGATCTACAGAACTAACTTTAATAAACTAGTGTGTAAGAACTCTTCAAATACTGTGTCTGTGACCATCAGTATGAAGTGTTTAATGTGTTACTGCATTTTAAGCTAATTAAGAGCTTCTAAATCATTAATATTGTAGTGCTGAAAATAGGCATAGGCACTGGTAATAACAACATGAAAGCAGCACATGTTGTGGAGTGTGTTTCTTTACTTACAGTTATGTATTACAAAGTAAATTCAGTGTATCCAAGCATAGTACAAAATTCAGGACATAGACAGGAGAAGGAGGAAAGGGTGTTCTCACAGAATTTGATACTCTTCTAAACTAGGTTTAATTTTGAGGTGTAATCCAGATGGTGGTAATAATAGCAGAAGATAAATGTTGTTTAGGATTGTTTTCTACAAAGTTACTTACTCTCTTTTTGTAGAAAACTGAACTCTTCTTACAGGGATGATGTGGTGTTTAATAAAAATAGAAGTAACTTTCAAAGCTTCCTTACTTCCAAGAGTTAAGATAATCTTCTCT